TGACCTCCTTGTAGGGGCAGGAAGCACACCTAGGGACTTGTCTGTAATGGGACCTCTATGGTAGTGGCTGTATATGGATGTAAACAAACCACAACTAGTGTATAAAATAACAGTTCCCTACAAACACAAGCACAGTTGACATGGTCAGCTGTCCAAAAGGACATTGCGCTGGATTGTGACCCTGAAAAAGAAAACAACTATTGCAAAAGTAATTGCAGAGTCCAATCTCAGTCTTGTGGAATGTGGTGAAAAGAGGGTCATGTGTAATTGTTAAATGAATACCTTAATACCTTTTTATATTTGTTTCATACAGAGTAATATGGTCATTCCGTATGTGGCTGGAGTGTGCAAAAATCTAAACAGGAGAGGGTGAACTTAAATGTCTTCCTACCAGCATCATTCAACCCAGATGACTAAGGCCATCCTGTTGATGCAGTCTCCATGCAGTCTCCATGCCCCAAGGGGACTTTACGAAGCTGCTCCACGCTAACTGCGTAATGATCCAAAGAACAAAGGTATACCGCTTATGCAAACAATCCAGATCAATCCACAACAGGTGCAGGCTCGCCACCACACATGACTGTATTCATGTCCTGGTGTTTTGTGTGTCTTATGGATCAATAAAATACATACTATATTCATCTATCCTCCAGTTTGCGGCTGACCCTTCTTCCTAACTGCGTAATGATGCAAAGAGCCCTGCTGACTTGATGCTATGATGGAGCCCAGAGTTAGACTTAAAGGAAACAGAACATTCTTTCAAGAGCTCTGATGTACACATTTTGAATAAAGATAACTGATTCACAAGAATTGTGAAAGAGGCCATCAATGTAAAGCTGGAACAAATATCTTTTACACTGATTATAACTGAAGCTGTTTGGATGTGATTCAAATATTCAATATTGCAGAACAAACTTTCAATTTATAATATTTTTTTTTTTCATACGGAGTAATATTGTCGTTCTGTATGTGGCTGGAGTGTCAGAAAATCTAACTGGAGGAGGGCGAACCCAACAGTCTTCCTTCCAGCATCATTCAACCAGGAAGACTAAGGACAGCCTGTGCAGGGTGTCATGGACCTAAAGGGTTTTACCACATCACCCCACACTAACAATGTAATTATATAGAGAACCCAGCTGACTTGATGACATAGGGAAGCCCAGAGTTAGTCAAAGGAAATGGAACACATTCTGAACAAGGAGGGCAACTGGTTCATGAGAGACGTGAAAGAGACCATCAATGTGAAGCTGGAACAAATCTCTCAGGATTATGTTGTGGTGTATTTCTTATTATAACTCAAGCTGCTTGGATGAGTGGCAAAAACATCTTCAGTATTATAGAATAAACTCCATTTGAATGTTGCAAACTACTACTAGGAAAGAAAAAGCATACTTTCATGCTTAGAAACAACCGATTGCAAAGGATGCCACTTTTTTACTCCACTTATTTATTCATTAAAGACAAAATGCCTTTGTTTTAAAAAATAACATCCGTACACACAGTTTCACAAGGCAGGTTAAGCTATTTAAACTCTCTTTCCTGCTGTTTTTACTGGTACCAGTCCCAGAACCTCATCTTCTCAAAACATTATAATTGTAACATGCATTTGAACAAGTGAAAAGGTCAGAAATGTAACCACAGTTAGACACTTTTTTTTATACAACCCTCATACACCAATATACTGTAATTGCCTGGCATAAATTAATTAGTATATCTAAGGCAAGAAAAATTAGTCTGTATAATTAAGTTTATGTCAACTTTACTTTGGCTTTATTTATGGTTGCAATGGACACAATTTTCGGCACATGTTGACAGCCTTTTGTTCATCTCAGGCCTTCTTATCTCATAGAATAATAATTTAATGGGAATTCGAAAGAAGCTTACTGCAGGTTGATGCAGCTTAGGAGGACAAATGCAGCTCACCTCCCAATTAATTGTGAATAATCTCAGAAGTATTACATTTTCTTATCAACACAAGTCCTATAGAAAAATCCTTTTCTCTATTCTTTTGATATTTAGTTTATTTTATCCACGGTTGGCACACCATATATAATTTTGGCATTAACTATTTCATTTTGTGCATTCTCAATAATTAATATGACTTTTATCAATGAGTTAGTTTGCTTTGAAAATAATTATTTAGAAAATGATTATTATGTGTTGCATAATGCCAAAACAGAAAAGTCCTACTTAAGGGGAGATGACAGGAAAACAACCAAATTAAGATGAATTAAATTCTATTCAACACCACAACTTTTTATTGTAAGGAATGGGTGAAATCTATTTTGCTTGTCTGCATCCTAGTAAAGAGTTTTCCTTTAATCTCCTGTGCTGGAGACACATCAGCAGGCAGAAGGAAATCTCTTTAAAGTTAGAGAAAATCCCCTTTGGATAGTTGTTTTGGGATAGGTGTCCCCTTTGGAAGATTTATCCTTTCTTCCTGTTCTGATGACAAATGCACAATTTGGAATTTCTCAACACTTTTTTCACCAGTGACAGTGGCTGCCAGGACAAATACAGAAGGCCAATATCCTTTGCCTGATACCCTGAGGGGTTTAAACACTTTTCGATCCAAAAGTAAACAAAACGTTTTGGCTTTAAATATTAGGTGTTTTCTGGTGATCATGCCAAACACCACCTGTTTTTCCACTATGTCCTTGCAAGACTAATTCCTGATTGGCAGGGTCTTCACTCATTATAACCACCTGGTGCATGTTCAGTGTTCCGATGAGGAAAGTTGCAGTGTCTGCATCCCTTTTTTTTGGAGGGTGTTCTGTACACCAACAAGTATAGAATGCCTCCAGGTTGTCATAATGCATTTCATTTTTTTCACAGTTTTAGAAAATTACTGTAGCTTCAGATTAAAATGAAAATTAATTTTTATTAAATAGTTACTAAGGGATATTTGTTTAAAATTAAACTAGCAAATATGTTACACTTACCTGCTCTGTGCAATGGTATTGCACGGAGTGACCCCCAAACCTTCTCTTCTTGGATCCCCCATTGATGCTGTCTGCTCTTCCACTTCAATGTCTGCCACCATAGCAAGTGCTTACTATGGAGGCAGACCTGCAGGCTTGCTCCCGTGTCAGGCTGTGTGCATCTATAGACACAAAGCATGGCTCAGCCTCTCGACCTCTGCTCCATCCTCACTAGATTTGATTAACAGCTGCAGGAGCCAATGGCTGCCGCTGCTGTCCCTATGTCCAGTGAGCAGAGAGAAAGAGAGTAGCAATCCTGTTCTCGGGCTCAGTGCTGGATGGAGATTGGGCTCAGGTAAGTATTTAGGAGGGGCTAATCTTAGAAAGATTTTTACTTTAATGCGGAGAATGCATTAGAAGAAAAAACCTTTAGCGTGTACAACCACTTTGACCTTAAAATACAAACCAAAGTGGAATTCACCTTTAATTTTAATATCCAGTGTTATTTCCAGACTAAAAATCAGCCACTATATGTAGGCCACTATGGGGTGATATATTGTGCCCTATATGCAAGTTATGCAAGTTAGGTACACTATGTAATGTAAGATTCTGCCATAAAAAAAAAACACAACAAAAGTATCTGTACATCTGTTCAAACATTCTGTACTCTGAGCCCTATTAGATATACAATATATTCAATCTTTATTTTAGGGTATACCGCCACTTAGCTAGCATAGGCTTGGATGCTGGAATGTATGCTACCTAGCAAACCACATTAATAGCTATTTCTGTATAGAATTCTTAGGGTGGGTTTCCTAAAAGTTACAACCGTAGACCATGCCTATGTAATGTGTGTTAAAAACAGCCACTTGTTGTCTCCATCAATAACTTGTGTGATTCGGTGACAATGCAGGAGTCAAATGGGAGATAGGAACAGAGGGTTGTCACCCTAAAAAAGGAAGTGCCTGAACAAGAACCTTTATGGCAGGATCACCACAATTTATTTTAATGAAAGCTACAGATTTAAAAATATTGAAAATTGTTTTTCAAATAACATTGAGGACATATTGATTACATTAACATATTTAAAATCAAATGGGATTTTAATCACTGGGTTTAAATACGGTATATTTTACGTACACCAGTTCATATCCACCCCAATTTGCCATGATTCAACTCCTCATCAAGAATGCAAACATTTCTAAATGATTTGCTTAGTTTCTTAATTGGTTTAAAAATGTTCATGTGATATGGATTTAGACATGTTGGGACACATGCCTGTACTTAGCTGCTCAAGAACTTATACACAAGGTTTTTATTGAGTAAGGAGAACCAGACCTGATACTCAGAGCCAAGAACCAGTGTCAGGTATAGGCCAATTTCAGCAGATGAAAAGATCACTTTATAAAAACAAAATCAATATTCAGTAGGTAGGGTCAGGCAAAGGACAGGCAAAGAACCAAATCACAACTAATAATAAAAAAGTCAAATTCCAAGGCAGGGGTCAGGTTCAGTGGCAGGCAAGCAAGGTCAGGACAAGGCTAATTAAAAAAAAAAAGAAAAAGAAAAGAAAAAGCAAAATGAAGTTGTTTGGCTGAACAGATTTTTTTTAAAGGTTGTAGGTTTTAGATGATAGATATTTTTACTTCTTAAAAAAGTTTCCACACAGCCTCAAATGTACATTGTTTTCAGCTAAGCTAAAAGTTGAACAAGTCAAGTTGTCTTTTGATAAGCATTTGCATGGTATAATTTACATATCTATTCTTCTAAAACAGTAAAAGAAAAAAATATTTCCTACAGCAATATATGTGCTTTGAGTGTACGCTGTTGCTGAGTCCGTTTGTGAAAATGTTACTGTCTCATAACATCGCAAACAACTTTTCAGCACCTCCCAATATTTAAAAAGCCCTCACTGGACCCTGTCAACCTGAACAATTTAAGACCCATTCCCCTGCTCCCAGTTACCTATGTTGTAATTTATTGGCTTTTTAAAGATTTATTTTTTTCTTTTCCTTTATAAGTGTCACTTTTGCTGTAGTAGTTGTATACATCATATTGATGCATCACTTCACAGCCAAGGTAGCCTCCCTGGCGGTATTCCCGAGTGTAGCTCGGGGTAACGTTTCAGTACCACAATCGGTAACCCCGAGCTACACTCGGGCTTACCATGCAGCGCTGCTCCAGGATCCCTCGATCACTTACCTTGTCCTGCGTTTCCCGCGATGTCCCTCCTGCAGTGTCCTCTGTAATGTCCTCCAGCAGATGCCGGCATCTGTCATCTGGGTTCCGTCCCCTGCAAGCGTCAGGACGTACGGGGATGGAACGGCGGGAAATTTGAAAATTACAAAAAGTGACATTCACTAAATTCACTAAAATCACATAGTAAAACATTACTGTATCAAACCATTTCACATACATTTTGTCCCGAGTGATTTGTCCTGTGCCCTGCCTGCATTTTTACTGTTCTTTCTGCCTGGAAACTGAGAAATGTCCATGGCGTCCAGAAAGCGTCCCTTTAGGTCAAAAGCGGTTTTAGACCAGCTAGAGAACAGCGATAGTAAATCAGAACTACTTGCAGAATTGAGTGATAATGATTCGTGGGGAAATTCGTCATCAGACACTGAAAACGATTCTGCGACTTTGCTCAGTGATGTGCGAATTTGGCGCTATATTTCAAATTTCAGTGTTTTTGGTTTGATTATATTATTGAATTAAATTTTATTATTATATTATTATTTTTTATGATTATTTATTAAATTATAATTTATGATTTTGTGTTTCAAATTTTATCATACCCGGGATGTTTACTAGACTCTTGTTCGGACAGATTTCAGTGAGTTATTCCTAAAAATTACAGGCCTACAATAAAAAAAATACATATTTCCATGCAAAAAAATGTACCGCTTTGAGCACAGAAATATGGACATAATCAGACCGCTAGGGAGGTTAAGGGCATCATCCAGGCATGTTATTTAAAGGAATTCTCAATTTTTAATGGTTCACCTAAAGCATTATTAAAAGTACTGCGCCCTGCCATAGATAACTTTTTTAAACTTTTTTTTGGCACACATTCTCCAGGGCAGTGCCCAGCTCCCATGTCATTGGTTTTACAATGCCCTGCCTGTTAGTTGAGAAAATGGCCATTACTTTTTTTAATATTTAGCTCCCATTGACATTAATAGGATCGGATTAGACACCCGAACTTAAGTAAAGTTTAGCAAACCTGACTCCAACTAAGCCCAGATACATACTAACATTAGTGCCTACTACAGAAGAAGGGAGTTGTTATTTTTTCATGACAAGGATACTTTAATATATACACAATGCATTATTATCTGAGCACAAAAATTACACCTGTTAATTACAATATAAGTATTTTAAAATATGTTTCCCAATTGACCACTTAGCAAATGAGTCTGTACATGTCAGTGGTTAGAATAAAAATGTACCGTTTACAAACATTGCCAACTTGCCAAGGTTTTAACACAACAAGCAAATACACAGCATGGAAGAACAGCGGGAATAAAATTCCAGAGTCTGTTGCGATCAAATAGCCTTCAATCTTTCACATCTTCTTCCAAGAAAGAATTTGTGCCCTTTAGAATAAAGAACACGGTTCTTTTAGGCTGCAGAGATCAGAAGAATACATTATGAGAAAAAAAAGTATTCATCTCCTTGGAAACTAATACTGTAAGGAATGATAAACAATAATAAATTGTATCCTGCTCATAACTCAGAATTAAAGTGGTATTAAAAATGTCATAATTACCTGATCTGTGCAGTGGTTTTGCACAAAGCAGCCCCAAACCTCTTCTTCTCGGGTCCTCTGCTGGCACTCCTGGCTCCTTCCTCTTGCCAAGTGCCCCCAGAGCAAGTAGTACAGCTGCTATGCCTGTCCATACACACAGAGCCACAACTCAGCCCTGCCCCCCTCTCCTCATTGGCTGACTGGCTGTGATTGACAGCAGCAGGAGCCAATGGTTCCTGTTGCTGTCTAAGCCAATGAAGACAAAAAGTCCCCAGACAGCTGAGACTCTCATGTACATTGCTGGATTGCGATGGGGCTGAGGTGAGTATTGAGAGGCTGCTGTACATAGAATGCATGAAGATAAAAAAAACTTGATGCCTTTAGAACCACTCTAACTTGCAGTTACCAGTTTTTTTATTCAATGTTGATACATTTACTAGAATATGAGCAGTTTTTGTTTGTAAGCCTCCAGGCTCTGACCCCTACCTCCGTCACCTCCTCCCACCTTAAGACCACCTGCTTATATTTCAAGCTTTAATTATTTTATACTTACCTTTTGAAGATGTCTTCAGGTCAGTTACATGACGCACAGAATCCTCTTCATCTTTTCGGAAGCTCAAAAATGCAGAGACCAGCACTGATGTCATCAGCACTGTTCTCTGCATCATTAAAATGTAATGGATCCATGATACCCCACATTCACAAAATGTCCTCAGTCTTCCAGGTTAATGATGTAGGGCATCACTCAACTTTAAAGACTGGGGACATCTAATATTGATAGTGAATTACTGCAGGAGACAGTGCCAGACAATCGATGAGTATGGTAACTGACTGTGTCTTTTTTTGTTTTATTTTCAAACTTCCTGGTGCTCCATTTACAGAAAAAAAGAAACAAGAGCTGGGCCTTCTTTCTATGTGTTCTTTCTATGTATTCCCCTGAAATATGCCGCCGTAGGCAAACGCCTTGTTTGCCTTGCGGTGAATACGTCCCTGGTCACAGGGAGAGAGGGCAGTGGCTGCAGCAGTGGGGACATGTTACACGTTCCACCCTAAAAACGGCTGGAACATCTAACGTGTTCCCAAACACGAACTTATCTGGTCCAGGTAAGGCCACTGGACCTTTTCCCCGGACCTCCGGGACTTGCGGCCTACCCGGCACCTGAAGCCGCGGCCTCGATTTCTGGCGCGGCCGACCCGGATCGCCGGGCATCAGCCAAGGCTGCCGCTGCTCTGTTCCCCGGTCCCCGCCGATCAGCCAGCCTCCCCAGGGCCCCCTCACTGGCCCTGGGTCCATCCCGACCACCGGGTACCAGCTCGCCCGGAGCAGCCACGTGCTCGTCAGCTCCGGCGCCCCCCCCGCGCCCGATCCGCTGCCATCCGGGCCCCTGAGCCTGCTGCCGATGTCCCCACCAACACCCTGAAGGGGACACAGACACTCCGTCCCTCCAGCGGAGCTCCGGCGGTCCGAAGCGGCTGAGGCCTACCACGGCACCCGAAGCCGCGGTGTTTCCTGCCGGCCGTGGCTGGAATCGCAGCGGGACGCCTCCGCTCCTCCGGGGAAGCTACCACCACCACCAACGGTCCTCCTAACATAGGAGGGATCCACCTCCACCCCGACGCTCCAGGACATCAGGTACTCCACCAGGGGCACCCACTACCCATCAGGGAGCCCAACCACGATCCCACCACCCACCGGAAACCCTAACCACCAGGGACCCCTAACCACTATCCCTCCAGCGATCGCTACTAACCCACCAGGGATAGCACGGCCACCATCCCACCAGGGATCCCCTGCCCTCCACCCCACCTGGGACTACCAGCCACCTCCCACTGCGTTTCGGACACTGCTTCGCCATCCCTGACCAGCACCCCCTCACCCACCCCGACCCTTCCTGCACCCCGCTCACCCCAACATGCCGCCCGCGCTCCTCCTCCTTGCCCTCCTCTCCTCCATCCCTAAAACCGCCTTCCTCTACCCACCCACCCCCCCGCTAAGCAGCTCTATATCGCCCCCTCACTTCTCCCCTCTCCCCACTATGGCACCCACCACCTCCTCCTGCTACTCCACTTCCCCGCTGACCCACTTGCCACCACTTTCAGACCCAAGCGCTCCCACACCTCCCCGCTCCCACGCCACCTTCCTCACCCTCCTCCTTCTCATTTCAGCTGGGGACATCTCCCCAAACCCTGGCCCCTCACCACCTCACACCCCCCCTAGAGCCCCCCCCCTGCTCACGCCAGCCGACGCGACCCCCTCAACCTCATACATGTACCCCTCCTCCCCATATCTATCCCCCCTCTCTCGGTTGCACTCCTGAATGCCCGTTCGGTTTGCAATAAGCTTACCGCCATCCATGACCTCTTCATCTCCCGCTCCCTCAACCTCCTAGCCATCACCGAAACCTGGGTACAGGCCACTGACTCCACTTCCCCTGCGGCACTCACCCATGGAGGTCTCATCTGGACCCATTCACCAAGACTGAGCGATCGCAGAGGTGGTGGTGTCGGCTTGCTCCTGTCACCGCTTAGCACCTTCCAGGTCCTCCCTAACCCACCCTCTCTTTCCTTCCCCTCCTTTGAGGCGCACTGCATCCGACTCTTCTCACCCCCCCCCCTAAGGATCGCAGTGATCTACAGGCCTCCCGGATCCATAGCCCGCTTCCTGGATGACTTCGCCGCCTGGCTCCCCTTCTTCCTCTCCTCTGAGCTACCGACCATCATCCTCGGGGACTTCAACATCCCCATCAACGACAACACCCCGGCTACTTCCCAATTCCTCCACCTAACCTCCTCTTTCGCGCTCACACAGCACACTCAATCCTCCACCCACCTCGGAGGGAACACCCTGGACCTTGTCTTTTCCCACCTCTGTACCCTCAACCAGTTCTCGCACACCCCCTTCCCTCTCTCCGACCACCACCTCATCACCTTCTCCATCTCCCCTTCCCCCAACTCCCCCCCTCAAAAACGCCAAACCATCACCAGCCGCAACCTCCGCAACCTGAACCCGGCCCCCCTCCACTCTGCCGCCGACCGCCTACACGACAGCATCCTCCCACTGTCATGTCCTGACATAGCCACCACCTTGTACAATGACTCACTGTCAGCTGCCCTAGACTCTCTGGCACCCCTAACCACACGCATCATCAAACCCAGACCGCTTCAACCGTGGCAGACCGACAGCACTAAACGCCTCAAACGTCGCAGTCGCGCACTGGAGAGACTGTGGCGCAAAACCAGGTCCCCTCATACTTTCTCCCTCTACAAATCTGCATTTCTTATCTACACCTCCTCCCTCCACGCCGCCAAGCAGGCCTACTTTGTTAACCTAATAAACACCCTCTCCTCCTGCCCCCGCCGACTCTTCTCCACCTTCAACTCCCTGCTCTCCCCCCCCCCCCCTCCTCCACTCAGTACCTCTCTCACCGCCCACGAGATTGCCACCCATTTCCACAACAAGATTGACGCTATCCGTAAGACATCGTCAACTTGCAATCTACCTCCCCACCTAGCCTCCTCGCCCCCGTCACCCCTTCATCTCCCCCCTCCTCTGCCCTCACAACCGCACTGCCCCCCCTCCTCTCCCAATGCCCCGCCCACCATAACCCCCCTCGCACTGCACTCCCTCAGCCCTGTCACTACTGAGGAAGTCGCCAAAGTCCTCTCAAAA